CCCGGCTATTTTTTGGTTGCAGCCATTATTGTTTGGCGGGCCCGGGCTGGGGGTTCAAACCCGCCACCTTAGGTGTATGTGGCTGGCGCCTTAGCCACTTGAGCCACAGGCGCCCAGCCAAAAAGCCTATCTTTTAATGTGATTTTTCCAAATATGATTTTATGGTATTATTATTCCTGCTATAAATTGATTTTTGTTAGATAAGAAATACCATGATAATCTCTAAGACTTATGTATATTTTAATTTTTAGGATTTCTTACTAAAGTCTTATCTGTATGTATTTTCTTAGTTTATTTTTCCTTTTTCCTCTTCACTTTCACTAATAGCTGATTTAAACTTTTATGGTGTTGGAAGCTTTGCTGACTTCTGTAGCCTCCATTACTGTGTAGGCAAGTAAGATTTTAAGAGAAACAGTTCTATACTAAGTCTGGCATGCCAACCTTCTTAAAAGATTTTGCATGTAAATGTGCTTTCTAACAGAGGCATGAGGTTGCTATATTTTAATTTGTCTTACATTTCTAGAATTAGACCTTACTTTTCTGACTGAATTTCTTTCTGTTTCAACCCTTTAATTAGTTCTTTAATTGGCCAAAACAAAGTATTCCTCGCTTCTTAATCCAGGTGTTCCATATCTACTTAGAAGTTGGGGGTTTTTTCTTTGTCTGTTTTTTGGTATCTTCATAAGTCACACTATTACTTAAAATATTCCAAAATATCGAAAAGATACCTTGTAACCATATATGTGGGTCCTTTTAAGTAAAGTAGGAGAAATCCTTTGCATTTTGTGTTAGTGGTGGTCCCACTAACTGTAATGCCCTGAGAAGGACAAAGGGAAAGAGTATTAAAGATTATTGTGTACTTACTGAGAATGGGGAAAGTTGTTGATAGCTTGGAGAAGGCATTCTTTTTTTTTTTGAGACAGAATATCACCATGTCACCTTTGGTAGAGTGCTGTCGCATCAAAGCTCACAGCAACCTCCAACTCCTGGGCTGAAGCAATTCTCTTGCCTCAGCCTCCCAAGTAGCTGGGACTACAGGTGCGCACCACAATGCCCGGCTATTTTTTATTGCAGTTGTCTTTGTTGATTAGCTGGCGCGGGCTGGGTTCAAACCTGCCAACTTTGGTGTATGTGACTGGTGCCGTAACCACTGTGCTCCGGGCGCTGAGCCACTTTTGTTATTCTTAATATATTGATTTTTTTAGAACAAGTGAGCCTGGAGTAGAAGATTATTTTTCATAGAGGATAAAATGGCAAGAATATTCGAGGCCTAGGCATTCTACAAAGAGAAGTGTATGAGGAAGACAATTAAATCGTATGATTTGTGGTGAATATGCATGGAGAGATAGATGAAGATGCATGTTAACAGATGCTTAAACTTTGGTAACAAGTTTTTGAGTGCATTAGAGAAGAGTAGAAAGCTATTAGCGTCCTGTTCTTGCTCTCCACAGCTCAATTTGTGTACATATCTCGTATATTCTGTTAACTATCTCTTAAGCTGCACTTTTGATTATTTAATGTTCTCCGAAATGAATTCTAGATTTCTAACATGCTTTATTAAAATTTTTATGCATTTAACCTTTAAATATATGCCTGCATTTTTCCCATGTATTTCTTAATATCAATATTGAAGAAGATAATTTCTCATTTAACATCTAGTTTATTTGTCTAGGTTGGATTATCTCAAGATGCCCAGGATCAAATGAGAAAGATGCTTTGCCAAAAAGAATCTAATTACATCCGTCTTAAAAGGGCTAAAATGGACAAGTCTATGTTTGTGAAGATAAAGACACTAGGAATAGGAGCATTTGGTGAAGTTTGTCTAGCAAGAAAAGTAGATACTAAGGCTTTGTATGCAACAAAAACTCTCCGAAAGAAAGATGTTCTGCTTCGAAATCAAGTCGCCCATGTTAAAGCTGAAAGAGATATCCTGGCTGAAGCTGACAATGAATGGGTAGTTCGTCTGTATTATTCATTCCAAGATAAGGACAATTTATACTTTGTAATGGACTACATTCCTGGGGGTGATATGATGAGCCTATTAATCAGAATGGGCATTTTTCCAGAAAATCTGGCACGATTCTATATAGCAGAACTTACCTGTGCAGTCGAAAGTGTTCATAAAATGGGTTTTATTCATAGAGATATTAAACCTGATAACATTTTGATTGATCGTGATGGTCATATTAAATTGACTGACTTCGGCCTCTGCACTGGCTTCAGATGGACGCATGATTCTAAGTACTATCAAAGTGGTAAGTAACTCAAAATTTAGTTTGTTCATAATAATGTGATTGAGTAATGCAGTAAAATATGAGATGGTATCATCACTGGATGGGAGCCAGAAGAACTGAGTGAGGCCTTGACTGTTGGATAAACTTGAATGAATCTTTTAGGCATTTCGATTTATAAAATGAAAGAATATGTTAGATTTGGTTATTTCTAAGTATCTTTAACATTTTTGATTGAAACTCTTTACCTTTGAAATGTCAGTGCTTTTAAAATAATTTTTAAATGAAGCCCCATGTCCACCATTCATTTTCAGAACTAGATTGTTAGCACTTTAGAAGCCCCTATATAGTCACTTCCCCTTTTCTTGTCCAGAGAGAGAACCATTATTTCAGAAACTTGTAATCAGTTTTTTAACTTTTCTCTATACTTTTGCCACATATGGTTATATCCCTAAACAATATACCATTTCATTTGCCTACTCTTCAACCTGCATGTAAATGTAATCATCCTATATGTGTTTTTATGTGTTGACTTCCTTTATATGTTTGAGGTGCCTCCATGTTACTGCAGCTACTGCGGATTCTCTTGTTTGACTGTTATACAAGTTGTTTAACCCTTAAACTTTATGTACATGATTCTTTGTATTCCTCACAATGTCATTGTGAGGCAGGATGAAGAAACGGAGGCCTGGTTAGATGAAGTAACCTGCCGAAGGTCAGACAGAAGTTAAATATAAGGGCTAGGCTTTGAACCTAGGTTTGATTACAGGGTTCATGTTATTTCTATACCACACTGCCTCACCAAGATCCCTTTAAGTGCTAATGGAAGTGTAAGTTGATCTAACATTTGTTGAATACTTACTATGTACTAGGTGCTTTACATACATTGTATTCTAATTTGATGCTTATAACAATTCTCTGATGTAAGTATTATCAGCCTCCTATGCTTCTATGAACATAGTGGATTGACATTGAACAGATGGAATTGAGACACCTGAGCCTACTTTAATGTTTGCCTTAATGGAATTTAGTGTCTCCCCAGATTCACCTGAATTATTGCTTGAGGCTCTTCTAAAAAATATCCCTAAGTTCTATTCCAGTCTTTTAATTAAAAGTCTTCACTAGAGGGTGGAAATCATATTTCAATCAAACATCCCAGTGATTATCACAGTTAGGAATTTGAGATACATTTCTCTAGGTGACTCATCTTATCATGGCCTATATGTCAGTGACTTCCAAATCTCTTTTTCTTCAAATGGTCTCCCTGAAATTCCTAATTTTTATATTGAACTGATTTCTGAATATGTCTTCTCATGGATTTTAAATAGGCCTTTCAGCCTAAACCATTGCCAAAAAGAGCTCTTTATTACCACCCCCATATCTGTTCCTTTTCTGTGCCCATCTTAATACATTCTGCCACCACTACCCACTTAGTTATCCTGATTCTTTTTTCCCCATTTCCCCCATCATAGGTCCTAATTGAGTCCATCTCTAAAATATATGCTGGATTTATTCACTTCTCTCCTGCTCTGCTGAATCCTATAATGGATTTTTTTTTTTTTTTTTTTTTTTT